GTCTGTCCGGGGTGGGGGTCGGGTCCCTTTAAGCACAGCCCTCGGCTAGCCTGAGACAGCAGCTCCACGCTCTAAGTCCTACTCTGATGCCCTGCCGGCACTGCTTCCGGCCATCCTTAACCCCGGTTCAGGGTCCACTCTGTGTGGACATGCTAGTTCGAATTAGCAAAACGCTAATTCGAACTAGTTTTTTAGTCTGGATGCGTTAGTTCGAATTAGCTTAGTTCGAATTAACTAATTCGAACTAAGTTAGTTCGAATTAGCGCTGTAGTGTAGACGTACCCTCAGTGAAGAGGGGCACTGCCAAATACAAAGGAATAGTAACAAGCAAGGACTCCATGGATACAGGCAGGGTTTTCTGACCACAGTTTGCACAGCCCGCCCCCCTCTCCCTCCATTGCTCAGACCTCCTTCAATGTGACTGTAAAACTGTACAAATGAGTATGTTGGAGGGAGCGGGGAGGGAGGAAGGAAGGAAGGAGACTGACTGGCTGACTCTAAGGGCAATGTAAAACTGTCAGGTTTTGGCAGCCTAGAGCTCTGTCTTCCACTGGACTGCATGTTCTGTCTCCACTCGTTCACGTCTTGATACAGGTCCCCCAGGCTCTGTCCATGGAGGATCTGATCCAGCTGGGAAGACTTGGTTCTTGAGCTCTAGCTGGAGCCATTTAGTTCTGAAGGTCCCCCTGTTAATCGTTGGCGTGGCAGACGAGATGGAGGCCAACACATGGGAACATAGAATCATAGGCAATTAGGGCTGAGGAGACCTCAGGAGGTCACAGAGTCTCACCCCGGGCTCAAAGCAGGACCAACCCCAACTAAATTATCCCAGCCAGGGCTTTGTCAAGCTTGGCCTTAACAACCTCTAAGGATGGTGATTTCTCCACCTCCCTATGCAACCCATTCCAGAGCTTCATCCCTGCTCATAGTGAAATAGTTTTTCCTAATATCCAGCTTAGATCTCCCTCACTGCAACTTGAGACCATTGCTCCTCATTCTGTCATCTGCCACCACTGAGAACAGCCCCTCTCCATCCTCTCTGGAACCTCTTTTCTAGTTGAAAGCTGCTATAAAATCCTCCTCACTCTTCTCCTCTGCAGACTAAATTAGCCCAGTTCCCTCAGCCTCTCCTCATAAGTCGTGTACTCCAGCTTTCGAATCTTTTTTGTTGCCGTCTGCTGGACTCTCTTCAATTTGTCCACATCCTTTCTGTAGTGGGAGAATCCAAATCTGGGTGCAACACTCCAGATGTGGCCTCATCAGTGCCAAATAGAGGGAAATAATCACTACCCGAGATCTGCTGGCAATGCTCCTACTAATGCACCCCCAATATGCCGTTCGCCTTCTTGGCTACAAGGGCGCGCTCTTGACTCATATCCAACTTCTCATCCACTGTAATCCCCAGGTCCTTTTCTGCAGAACTTCCACTTTGCCAGTCGACCCCCAGCCTGTAGCCGTGCGTGGGACTCTTCATATCAGCTTGAGCGCACAATTGATTGGCCCATCTACAGCCTGTAGGCACACACCCATTTTTGCAGACATGCAGGCAGCAGAGTGGTGTGTGTACCCAGCTACTTGCTTTGCACACCCACATACAGATTTTGCACAGCTATAATTACTGTATGTGGGACCTACTGTGGGTATGTCTACACTACAGAGTTTTGTCAGAAAAACATCCGTTTTTCCAACAAAACCTGAGTTATGTCCACATTGCAATCGCGTTCTTCAGAAAGTAAATCGAAAGAACAGTGGGGATTTTCTGGCTTTGGTAAACCTCTTTCTACAAGGAAGAAGCCTCTTTCGGAAAAAGGCATGTGTGGATGGGGAAGAGGGAGTTCTTTCACAAGAAGAGGAAAGAGGAAAAAGCACAGATGCCCTGGTGGCCACTCTGTCTATAGTAATAACAGGTTAAATGCAAGAGTGCATCCATTCAGTGTGGACGCTCTCTTTCGAAAAGGCAAATTGCTTTTTCGATGCACTTTTGTGTGTGGACGCCCTCTTCCAGAAGAAGTTTTTTCAGAAGATCTCTTCCGAAGAAAGGTTCTTCCAAAAGAAGCCTGTAGTCTAGACATAGCCTGGGTGTATGTAAACTGTCAGAACTTCATTGATCTCCACAGCGCTGTGCAAGTTTACATCAGCAGAGCATTGGGCCGGTCAGTGGCAGCACATGGAAAGCAGATGCTCACAGAAGCACTGTGATAGTGAGATGTCCTGTGTGGAAACTTGTGGTCAATGATCTTTGTTTGTTTGTTTGTTTCCTTTAGTTGCTTAAGAACAAACAAGCCAGATTCCCACAAAGCCACTTCGTCCTGTGAAACTCTACAACTAACCCCCAGGAAGGAGCAGCTCTGCCTCCTTAACCAACATTTCCTTCTGCGCCAGTTTGGACGCAAGAGCAACTGTGCTTCTGCAGATAGGGACGCTAGCTCACCAAGCCGCTTGCTCCGGGCCAGAGAGGATGAAGACAGAACAAGGCTGCAGGAGGAATGGGATGAGCAAGCTGCCATTTTAGAACTCCCTGGGGCTGTAATGTACACACGGGACCAGCATTTGGAGGGGAAGCTTCAGTTTCTTAAACCCAGAGAGAGGCTCCAGTATCTCCTGGCACAACAGCATCAGCGAGGATTCAGGGCTAAGAGAGAAGGCGACCAAAATGCAACTCCAGTTCCGGTTGCTCGTGAGGAAAGGCCCCTTTCCCCACCACCTAGCACAACCGTGGGGTGCAAAGAAGAGAAGTCGCTCCTGCAGGAACCTGTGGAAGGGGAAGGTGTGTGGAGAAACAGGGACAGCGCGGAGCAAAGGGATAAGGCAGCGAGAGGGTATCTCCTGGATGCACCTCTGGACCTGTCCGATTATGGCAGGAGGGAAAACCTAAAACCTGCCAGCTGGCGCCCATCCCTCAAACAGCGTGAGGCGGACAGTCCGAGCCCAATCCAAGCAGAAAGCCCCGCTCCTCAGCCAGGCAGGAGCGCCAGCGCGCTCTCAAGAGCAGAGTGTGAGAACTCCCACCTACCCAGCAGCCAGCTTCGTGCGGCCAAAGCACTGCCCATCAGCAATGAGATGGAGCAGCTGAGCGCCAAAGAGCAAGAGGCCATTGCAGCATCCTTGGTGAGTACATCTTGCACTGGCATCTGGAGGGAGGCTGTGGGTGGCCGTCACTTTGCTGGGCTGATTGCAGTTTTAAAGAGGCATTAGCAGCACTGGTGTTGAACATTCTGATCTGATGGCGGTACTGTGACCCTCCGGGTGTGCAACAGGGTGGTGGGGCCAGTCCTGGACTTCGTGGACAATTTGCCCAGTGCAAACCCCCCCAATACAGACACTAAATGGCACCATTGCTCTCAGTCTCAGAGAAAACCAAGGACTGAATGGCCCATGGAAAGGAACCACACTCTAAACCTCAGGGTCTGACTCCTCCGGATTAGGATTAAGATGCACTGAGAGATCCTGCACCTGCCACTCCCCTTGCTCAATCTGTGCATAGTGGACAGTAAGGGCCTGTGACAGTATCCCACAAACATTCAAAAGCCCCTAGCTGATGCTGTCCGAGGGAGATGTGCATCTTTGCAGTTATCCTCCCTGCCATGCTGGAGCAGGGCACCAGATTGTTTCACTGCCTTCGAAGAGGGCAACATTTCCAGCAACAAAGGCACTGGGAGTTCTGCCCACCCGTTAGTAACTAACGCAGCAATTGCCATGTGTTACAGGGCACTTCCACACATGGACAGCCCACTGGCAAGCGAACTTCATGTGATGCTGCCACAGAGTCCAAGATCCCGGTGGGAGTGTCTCCGAGGGCACAGATGCAAGAACCAGGCGCTCAACCAGGTAAAAAACTCTGCTGCAAAAGCAACATTTGAGAAAGCAGGAGCAGACAGTGCTGGTCTCCTTAGCACTGTATAGTCTATAAATGGGGCATCTAAACATGTCTGCAGCATATGGCAATTGTTTTAAATGGCATGCTGTAAACTCCAAGAGGAAGACTTTCGTACACAAAAGCGCTAAGGTCACCTGGGCACCAAACTCCCATGGCAATCAGTGGCAGTTGAATGCTTACCTCCCATTTGTGCCTTGGAAAACCTCCTCAAGGCTACCATTTTCACACCTGCATTAGGGATGTCAAATCCTGTTTTATTCGTTAACTGATTAAACATTAAGTTTAACCGTTTAACTGATTAACCAGGAGCAGGCAGGCTGGTGCAGCCCCCTGGCTGTTATTTCCACTCCAGCTCATCTGGTATGCCATATATGAAGAGAGGCTAAAGAGACTGGGACTTTTCAGCTTAGAAAAGAGGAGACTGAGGGGGGATATGATAGAGGTATATAAAGTCATGAGTGGTGTGGAGAGGCTGAATAAAGAAAAGTTATTAATTAGTTCCCATAATAGAAGGACTAGAGGACACCAAATGAAATTGATGGGCAGCAGGTTTAAAACTAATAAGCGAAAGTTCTTCTTCACACAGCACATAGTCAACCTGTGGAACTCCTTGCCAGAGGAGGCTGTGAAGGCTAGAACTATAACAGAGTTTAAAGAGAAGTTAGATAAATTCATGGAGGTTGGGTCCATGGAGTGCTATTAGCCAGGGAGTAGGAATGGTGTCCCTGGCCTCTTTTTGTGGAAGGCTGGAGATGAATGGCACAATACAAATCGCTTGGTCATTGTCTTCGGTCCATCCCCTCCAGGGTACCTGGTGTTGGCCGCTGTCGGCAGACAGGATACTGGGCTAGATGGACCTTTGGTCTGACCCAGTACGGCCATTCTTATGTTCTTATGTTCTAAGCTCAGGGCTCAGGGTCGGGGGGGTCTCACTGGACCAACTTGATTTTCATGCAAACCTGCTCCTGGGTTCGCATGTGGCCTTTGGTGGCCAGGCTGGCAGCTATCCTGCCATAGACAGCTGCATTCTTGTGCCTAGTGGGGAGGTCGTGGATGTTGGAGGCCTCCCCCCAAACCTTGATGAGGTCCCCGCCAGCCTGGTCCCAGGAAGAGGCGGAGGGCTGGGTTACAGCGGGTAGCTGGCTCATGCCGTGCCAGGTGCAGGGTCTGCTGGCGGGGTGCTGGCAGGCTTGCAACTGGCACAAGCACTGTAGCCAGACCATGCCCCTTTAAGGGCTCCGGGGCCGGGAGGGAGTCAGAAGAGTTTCCCTGGTTTGGCCCAAAGTGGCCACCAGGACAACCTGGGGGAAGGGCTAGCCTCCAACTAGTTCGAATTAAGTGGCTACACAGCCCTTAATTTGAACTAGGCGTTACTCCTTGTAGAATGAGGTTTACCTAGTTCGAATTAAGTGCTCCGCTAGTTCAATTTAAATTCAAAATAGCGGTTTGTATGTGTAGTCCCTATTAAAGTTAATTCGAACCAACACCTATAAGTTCGAATTAACTTTGTAGTGTAGACATACCTTTAGTCTCTGAGGACATGTCTACACTAGGAAATTATTTGAAAATAACTAAATTTGAAATAATAACTTCCGAAATAACAAAATCGAAATAGCATGTCCACACTACAGAGGAGCCTCAAAATTAGTCCAAGTCAGACTCCATTATTGTGGACACACTGCCTCAACTTAGAGCCCCAGGAAACACTGAGGAGCAATTACTTCAAATTATTCTGGGGAGCAATTATTTCAAAATAGCAGCAGCAGAGTGTCCACACTAACGCTGTTTCAAAATAACTATTTTGAAATAAGCATTATTCCCCGAGGAAAGCAGGTGTGCAGATTTTGAAATAACCAGCCTGTTATTTTGAAGTAACGGGCTTAGGGGTGTAGACGCTCCGCTTGTTATTTCGAAATAAGGGAGGTTATTCTGAAATAACTTTTTAGTGTAGACCAGGGCTCAGGTGCCACAGAGTTGCTTGTTGATTGATGGAAATTTACTGTAAATTATATTCCCCGGTTATATTGGTATACTGAAAATCAGTCCCCCAAAGCACACACACTTGGGCCTCCTACTAAAATCTCAGCCCGGCGTACCCTGTGGCAACTTCACTTGGGAACACAGTTTATTACCAGGTTAGACTTTTGCTTAGCTCAGCGCTGCGGCAGACTCCCTGGTAAGCTCCAGTTACTTGGTGTCCTGGCGCAATGCAAGACAGCCATAAATCCAGCATAACTGGCTAGTATTTACAGCTCCTGTGATGCTCGAGGCAGCTGGAGCTTAGTGGTGGGTTTGGTCCCCGGGCTCTGAGCTGTGCCAGCATTTCTTACCTTTTCGTTTTGAAAGGTCATCAGTCTCCGTGTCCCACTGACCATGGCTCTGATCAGTGACCGGAGCTGTGACTGATTTTGTGCAATACCTGTGAGGGATTTAGGAACTGTTACTGCCAATGCCGATCAGTTACGCTTCCCCTCCTGTTTCCCTAGAGGAGGACGATGAAGAGGCTGTGAAGCAGGACTCCGAGGAGCCCAGCACATCTGACAGCGAGGTTTGCTTCCTTTGACAGACATATGCTGAGAGCAGTCCAAAGCTGGTTCCTCTTTAAGGCTGTGAATTTCAAGGGTGAAAGTCAGTGGGAGCCGGGCCGCTTTGAAGAGCCCAGCAGGCAACCCCTGTAAGACAAAACTATGCTATGGTTTCAGTAGAAAATGAGACCAAAAAAAGGCAACACGCACACACTATTTCCCCAGGCTGGAATGGGCCCAGCTGCTGTCTCTGGGTTGCAGGGAAGTTCTGCTTTTGCTTCCTCGTGTGATTTGTCCTGCATTACTAAGGCCAGGTCTACACTAGGGGATCAGTTTGAATTAAGATATCCAACTCCAGCTACATTAATTGCGTAACTGGAGTTGACATACATTGATTCAAACTTTGGCACCATCCCCACAGTGGGAGATCGATGGGAGGAACACTCCCGTCAACTTCCCCTACTCTTCATAAGGAGCAGGAGTACCAGCATCCATGGGAGCACCCTCAGAGTTTGATTTAGTGGGTCCTTACTAGACCTGCTAAATCAAACTCCCAAAGATTAACCTCTGGAGCTTCGGTCCACAGATAATTATAGATGTGGCCTAAGACGAAAGGAAGTCACGCCCTTGCTCAGATGGCAGATGCCTAAATACCTCTCCCATCCATCCCCCATCCTCGTTCCCAGCACCTCAATAGCAGAGGGAGATTCTATGCCTGATATCATTTCCTGTGCCCAAATATGTCAGAGGAAATGCCAGACAGGTGGTATAACTGTTGTAGAGACCAAAGGCTTTCTCAGACCATAGGGTATCCCTTGCCTTTAGTGTAGTTCGTCGGTGCTGGTAACATATTGACCTCATGGAGAAATATGGCACATCCAAAGATAGGAGAAAGATGTTATACTTTTCCTGGAACATCCAATTATAACCACCTGGTGTTTGCCTGGCTGAAAGGCGGCTTCTTTAGCAGGATCTCCACATCCTGCTTTGGGATGGTCGTGCCCGCGGTTACAACCCATCACACGGCCACAGAGCATCCAGATGGGAGAATGTGCTGAAGAGGGGAGAGGATGTTGCTGGATGAGTCAATTAGGCCAAGTCAAATAATAAAATAATAATAATAATAATATTGTAGTGCCGGGCAGTCCTAGTCCTGGAGCTGGACCCACATGGACCCCAAAGAGCATAAAATAAGTTTAGCAGGAGACAGCAGGCAGAGAAAAGACGAAAGGGGAGCACAAGGAAACAATGAGCCAGCACTGTTCAGCAAGGCAGGGAGCGGTCTCTACACACCAAGCAGCGAGGGCCCACCTTGGCAAACATTAAAGAGGACTGTTTTTCAAGGGTGAGTGCTCATTGCTTGCTGAAAGTCGGGCCTCTTTCCAGCACACCACGCTGATCATCCAGCTTGTAAATCTTGGGTTGTACACTTGCCACATGCTTTGAGCTCCTATGGGGAGAGGCAGGAGAGAAGGGCAAAGTCCTGGGATCACTGGGACATTCACAAACAATTGCAAATTCGCTTTTTAGCTCTGTGCTGTGAGGGGTGAGAATGACTCCAAGGGCAGCAGGATGGGTCATGGGTGGTCGGGTGGGCCAAACACTGACCAGTTTTCTGATTTGTCCAGGAGGCTGCCGCTTACGAACATGAAATCCACCAAGAAGAACGCGCGGAAGGAAAACATTCGTGCACAGAGAACAAAGATGAGGTCTTGCAAAAGAAAAGAAAAAGAGGGCAGGATCCAGGGATGACAGGTATGCAGAAAGAGGGCCTCCTCGTAAAGAGCAGAGCCCGGCTTCCCTTGTCTAACTGATATGAATCCCCCTGCTCTTTGAAATGCTGTCACATACCCCAACATTAACCAGGGTCATGACTCTATTTAGGCACAGTAAGAGGAGAGGGCTTGAGTAATCAAGGATGGAGGAACTGGGTAGGTCACGGTTATGGGCATGGAAGGTAGGGCTACGGGAACACCCACCTCAGCTCCACCCCTTCTGGTGAGGCCCTGCCCCCCATGGGAGCCAAGCCACCTCCTCACCTCCCCACCATGGAGAGGCAGGGAGGGTGGACGTGTGCACCCCCCAGCCTCCCTGGCCAAGAGCACTAGGGAGGGCAGGCGCTGGGGACAGCAACACTCCGCCTCTAGTATGCCTACAGCAGGCGTTTTGGTGGCGGAGTGTGGGTGGGGCTAGGCTGGAGGTTTGGGAAGGCTGTGCCTTCCACTGCCTATTATACCTGACACCCATGGTCACAGTAGGTGACATTCCTGCAAAAGTTACAAGAGTTGGAGACCTGTCTGGTTCCTGCAGTCCTGCACTCTAGTGGAGGTCCTTCCCAGCCAGGGCAGAGGTGCTGTGGGTTAAATCTTGTACTGCCACTGCCTGGTACCGTGGATGCAAAAGAGATTTCCTACACCAGATATGGGTGTGGCATACTAGTACGGACAGAGTTTTGCAAGTGGCAAATGGACATGGGGAAATTAAAAAAAAAACCTAAACTCATAATAGTACAAAGGGGGAATTGGGCCTATGAGAATGGCAACATTTTATTTTTCTTCCTTTCCTGCTTTCTTTTCCCCTTGGCTAATTTTCAAATGTTGTGAGCAGCAAATAGGGTTGCCAGATTGTTTTTTTGTTCAGTATTTTTTCTGAAACCAACAAACACGTGCCCCCTTTAAAACACACGTGTGAGGCTTTTTGGCCCTAACACAATGCCGGCAGCCGCCCACTATCTTGCCTCCGTGCACGGGTCTGGACAGCTCCCCTATGGAACCCGGTAAGCACTAGGGTTGCCAGGTTGCCTCCATATTGAGCCGGACAACCTGGGATTTTCACCTCCTGGCCGGGAGAAAATCAAAGTACTGGACATTTTAGGTGTCCAGTATTTTCTGAATTTTTTTACCAGACAGGAGGGGAAAATACCAAACTGTCCCATTCAATACCGGATACCTGGGAGCCCTAGCAGAAACACAATTGTGGCACAGACCTCCCCAGTTTCTCCAGGTCTGGAACTTTGAGCGATCGAGATATTAATGGGGTGAGCTATTGTTTGCAAAAGGTGAGCCTCAGTAAATACAATGGAGCCAGACTCTGTCCGAAGTCTCCTATCGTTTAGCAATAACTAGCCCATATGGGCCTGCTCTATAGGAATATTAGAATTGCCAGACAGGATCAGAGCCAAGGTCCATCTAGTCTAATATTCTGTTCAGCTGATTCAGAGAATTGTGCAAAACCCTGTAACAACCAGTAGTTACAGATTGGCTTAACTCTTGAAACATTAAATTTCTATCCTTTCCAAAACTCACTATTTGCATTAAGCCTTATAACTTTGGACATTTTTCTTGTCCACATAAACAGCCAATCGCTCTTTGACTCTTATGAGCTCTTGTCCTCCAAGAAATCCTTTGTCACTCAGGGTATGTCTACACTACCACCCTAGTTCAAACTAGGGTGGTAGTGTAGACATACCCTGAGTGACAAAGGATTTCCTCAGGTCAGTTTTGACTTTGCCACCTTTCAGTTTCTTTAAACATCCCTTTGTTCTTGTGTTATAAGACTGGGAGAACAGAAGCTCCTGGTTTCCCCTCTTGGACAGTCACCTAAGCTTGAAGGGGGGCTTATTTAATAAACAACACCCCCGAATCCATCCCCTTGCCCTCCATAGAGCGTTAGTATTTTCCACATTGTCACCCATATAAATGATTCTAGAGTCTGCAATATATAGGACTGCAGTCTCCCACCAGGCTGAATTATTCTAGACCAGGGGCGGTGGCACGTGAAGTCCTTAGCCCACCTTCCCCCATGCACAGTACAAAGAAGCACATGGCTCCAGCAGCCAGCCGCTTCCGCAGGCAGCATGCTTGAGGGTCCTGGTGGGGCGGGCCATGGGCCAGATCCAAAGGCTTGACAGGCCAAATCCGGCCCATGGGCTGTATCTTGCCCACCCCTGTTCTAGGCCATTCATGGCTATTTATGCTTTTCTCATGTTACCTCTTATTCGTCTCCCTTCTAAGTAACGATCCCAACCTTTCTATCCTATTTAAGAGGCATTTTTCCTGGCCTCTAGTCATTCTCATCGCCCTTCTCTGGACTCCTCCTCCCCTATCAGTATTGCACACAATATGCAGATGTTCTACTGATTTATAGAATGGCATTATAATAGTCTCCATCCTGTTCCTTTGTTTTGTTTCACTGAGATTTGGATCAGGCCCCATATACAACTATTCCAGTGACCTACCCTTGATTAATTAGCATTTTAAGAGAAATACATGAGGGGCATTCAGCCCTGTTCCTTGACCCACCGTGGGCGTGTTTGCTTCCACTACGTGAATTTCACACTGCACAAATGTTTGCCCAAGGTGATACAGTTGGTTCCTTATGATAAGACCTGCCACACTGTACATGGGTAACTAGTGTATCTCTAAACAGGGAAGCCCTTGCTAATGGTTAGCCAAGCCAGCTTGGGAGAGGAGTGGCTGAGAGAGCCACCTAAGCTAATAGGTGTCAATGCTAGTGTTTGTTTAGCCAGTACCAAGTACTGCTGATTGAAAGACTAAGCAAAATACTCCACAACGTGTTATTGACATTTGGAGAAAGCTTTCACACAACCACTGTTGATCTTTGAGCATGGCCATAAAGGTATCACCTTGCTAACAATGGAATGTGTTGTACGGGTATTTCCTAGAGGTGAATAAGCAGAAAATTACTGTTGACAAGGTGAGGGACCTAGCAGCAGGCCTGTCAAGCCGTAAATGCTGCTCCATCATAAATGGCTTGCTAGTGGCCCTCTTTGTGCAGTCAGAAAAGAAAGGACAGTGTTGACCAATTGAAAAATGTATGGACAGGTGTCACCCAAGCTTTAAAGAGGGATTGTATAACAAGCAACAGCCACCTCTTACCCTACTTCCCCTCCTTCCTGAGATGCCTACAGAGGCAGCAAATGAAAACTTGATCAAACAATAAAGAGCTCCTCTTAAAAACAAATCCCGAGCTTTGGAAGCTGTCAGACTAAGGGCAGATGTGGATAGGGTAATGCCAGCACTGATGAAAATCTTAAAAGGTTGGATCCTGCGGGTGGGCTGCAGGATTGTGCCCAGTTGTGCAGAGTTTGGAGACCAAGAAGACCTCTGAGGTCTATCTGTCAGGGATTATTGATACCCAGTCATTTTTGCTGTATTTAAGCATTTCTGGGGTTAGGTCCTGCCACCAGCTAGTGCTGGGTTGTTTGCCGTGCTTTGTGAAGTTTTTTTGGAGGGGGGTTAGATTACACAGATATGTGATACAAACACATTGAAAGAAATTATGTAAAACCCGGTGCCAGATTTTCCTCTGAAGGGTGCACGGTGGGTGGTGGAATACACATCTGCATCGGTTCATGCAGTTCGCTGACTTTTGTAGGTCTTCGTGATAACTCTGCATACAAGCTCAGGAACACATTTTGTACCTTCATGTTGTGAAAATCCAGCCTCTAATTTTCTCTTCATCTATTTACTGTTTCCTTTTAGCATCTGACTCAGCACAGAAAATAAGGGCCACCTTTACCAAGAGCCAAGACCCATTTCTAGCTATCCAAAAAGAACATTATGCACTTGGCTCCATTTGTGTATACAAATCCAACAGCCAAGAGGAGCTTTGCATATGCAAATGCCTACTTGCACACAATTGCCCACTCTGTGCAAACAAGCATGTTTTGCACTCAAATGCAGATGTATGCACCGCCCAGCTTTCTGTACACGTGCACTAAGTCAACAATTAAGTATCATATAGTGCTAAGAGTTCTAGCATCTCATGATCACCTTTGCCTGTGCAATGAATTTTACGCCTCAAAATGGACACACACCAGTTTTTTATGTGCCAAACAATTTTTCATACACCAAATAATTAGTTGCAGATCTGCTAGAGGCCAGTGTGGGCTTGACACTTACAAAAGAGATGCACACACACACATGTTGGGTCATGGGCATCAACAATTTTCTTCGACTGGGTCATGAGAAAAAAAGTTTGAAAACAGCTGGTTTAATGAAAGGCATTATCCTATGGTGTATTGCACCCTCAAACAGTGGATGCTCATGGTTGGATTGAGGCTGCCTGAAAAATCCATCCCTAAAACTCAATTGGTTATTTCACTTTTTTGTTTCAGAGTCAAGTTCACTTTCTTCTCATCTACTCCTGCTGCTGTTTTTCAGATTCAGAGGGTATTCAGAGGGCATTTCATACATCCTCATTAAGCTACCTGAGTCTGTGGATATTTGAAACAAAACCTAACACTGTTTCTATTCCTCTGTAGTTTGCCAAGTCTCATTTTGGTTTACACAATTGATAGTCTGGGCCTAGAAATTGTTGACCATTAATAGTGGTCTGAACAGTCCATGGCAATGTGACTAACACCTGTGTTCCTCTTCCTGTTAACAGCATATAAGAAGTCAGCAAGAGGAAGAAGGAAAATCAGAGCTCCCCTAGCGATGGCTGATGCAGCCGAAATGACAAAGGAAAGAGAGCACGACAGCCCTGCTTGCAGCAATGACGTCTTTGAGGAGAACTAACTGAAAAGTACGACAGGAAGTGATCTCCTAGACCCTGCAGACTGCAGGAAAAGGCTTGAACCGGGAGCCAGAGAACCCAGTGTTTGACCCCAGCTCTGATACCGCCTCCCTCCGCCAGTTGGGCAAGTCATGCAACCGCTCTCCCCACGAAGTGCGGACAACAACGTTTTTGTTAGCTGCGGGGAGCTTTTGGGGGACTAATCCCCAACCGTGTGCAAAGCACTTTGAAGACCCTTGTGGTGTGCTAAGTATTATTGCTGTGTCCGAGGCATGAACCCGTGGCTGGGAGCCATGTACCGTGGCGGAGCCTGGGCCACACCGCTAAGCTGAAGCAAGGCCTGGAGAACTAACAGACCTGTGCTTTTCGCACTCTCCAACGAGAGCAGAACTTCACCGGAAAGCAAGTACTGGTGATGCCTGTCCGCCATGGCGCGGCGCAGACACAGCAGGTGGTATCAGAGGCTGTATCACTGCTCGGGCTTAAGGGTCTGATTCCTTGCTCCAGCACAGCACCTCTGCACTGGTGCCACTCCGGCACTGAGTTGCTGTCTGTGTACGGCCTGATGCTGGACCTTACTGGAGCGGGCACTTTGGCTGCTGTCTGCGAGAGGAGAACTAAGGCCTTAAACGCAGCGTTGCTTTGGAATTCTGGCATCAGGGAAGCAGCAAAGACTTTAGAGGGTGCGCTGTCAAGGCATTTCATACAAGGAGAAGCACGTCCAGAGGGTAATTACCAGGACAAGCTGATGGCAACTGGGCTTTACACGTTAAACTTCCCTTTTTTTGAATTTCTGGCTGTAGGGTAAAAGCAGGTGACGAGGAGAACACGTCACACAGTTAAATGTATTCAGGCGCCCTTTTCTCATGCGCGTACAGCCTACGTTGATTAAACAGCTGTACAGGTTGGACTCTAAGAGGTGATTCTGGTGTTTGCATTGTCCAGAACTGGTGTTTTCCCTTTCCCAGAGCAACGCACATGGCAGGAAAGTTGACGGGGGCGGGGAGCATGGGGAGGAACGATGGGGTGGGATGCCATCCAACGAGAAGGGGGAAAGAAGAGGATGGAGAGGAGGCAAGGTGCACATAGACTCTCCTGCAAAACATACTGGGATACCTGGCAAGGTCAGGTGTGTAAATCAAAGCTGCAAGCCGGCATGAGCAGCGCTTACTCAGCAGGTCATGCTGCCCTTGGCAGCAGCATCAGGGCCTTATTTTCTTCTGGAGAAACTGTCGATGGACAGTTTTTTCACTGTGTACAAGGTATGAACAGGTTCCCTTTCTGCATCCGGCAAGCAGGGCTCTTCTTCCCACCGACTCAGTGCTGGACAAGCCTGTTCATTTTGGCCATGCTTGCAAGCAGGGATGCAGTTGTGCATAAGGTTAGCACTTCCCTGAGTCCTTCCTGGAGTGTGCAAGGACCACAGCATGGAGCAGGGATGTGTGCTACACTCAGGTCTTTAACTGGCTTCCCCTTTGAGAATCCCTGGGAGCACGGAGCAAAGTTGGCTGCTTTACTTGGAACAGCAGTTCTCAGAGTGGGGGACTTGAGTTTCTTCCCTCAGGACCCTGCCCCTGTCTCTGAAGACTGTGCATTGGCCTAAAGATGCGGCAGCATCCCAAGAAGTAGCCTCCAGGGCCTGAGAAGGGACAGAGAGGCCGTTCCCAGCTTCTGCAGTGGAGGGAAAGGGCTGCTCTGGGTCCTAATGCTGTACAAAGCCCATGTGTGCCAATTAGAATCCATGTGTCCCTTACATGTGTAAGGGGAAAGGACGCAGGGGGATTGTCCATATGGTTTAATGCAGCAAGTTTCAATCGTGGGGTCGCGACCTCGTACCAGGTCGTGGAATGTCAGGCACTGGGTCTCATTGCTGCATGGTGGCCAGCGGGGGCACTAAGGCAGCTCCCTGCTTGTCCTGGCACCGCAGACTGAGCTGTCTGCCAGAAGCAGCCGGAAGCAGGCCCAGCTCCTGGGGGAGGGACAGTGCACAGGGCTCTGCATGCTGCCCCAGCCCTGAGCACTAGTACTGCACTAACATTGGCTGGGAACCTGCTGCTGGCTGCTTCTGGGGCGCAGCATGGTCTGCGGTGCCAGGAGATGAAGGAAGCTGCCTTAGCCCCTCTCCCCTCCCCCCCGCCCCACTGCACTGCTGAGCAGGACCTGCTCAAGGTAAGTGCCTCCTGCCCCAGCCCTGATCCACCACCAAAGCCGGAGGCCCCTCCTACACCCCAAAGCTCTCATCTGCAACCCCACCTTGGAGCCCACACTCTAGTCAAATTCTGTTGAGTTACAGCATCAACAATTTTCTTCAACTGGGGCATGAGAAAAAAAGTTTGAAACCCGCTGGTTTAACGAAAGGCACCTGTACATTATCCTATGGAAAACTAGCTTAGGCAGCCCAGTGGGGGCTCTTGTTTCAGAGGAAGAGCAGAGCTGCCTGGATCAACCTGGGGATGCTCACAGTGTCTGGGTTAGGAGGGTTGAGTTCCTATCATCCTGTGCCACACCCTGAGCTGAGCTCAGCATGGCTCTGGTGACTCATTTGTGGCTGGCTGCCTTTTCCTTAGCAGCAGGGAGTCACAGCGGCTGTAAAGTGTTAGGGAGAGAAATGGCAGCCAAAACTGACAAGAAGGAACAAAGGCCTTGAGATGGACAATAGCCAATAATTCTGGCTGCATTTAGGAAGGAGAAATGGCAAAACACAGGGCTATGCCCAGGCTCTAACTCTCCGTCCCCACAATCACCACCTCTGGATAACTAGAATACCCCTGGGGGCATGCCCTATCACACCCACCCCCTCAGGGCTCTGCCCAAGAGTTCTGGACCGTCTCTGAAGGATGGAAAAACTCAGCCAGTGCAGGCAACCCACATGACCAAATAAAACAAATATGTGCAGAAGAAGGACATAGGCCACAGAAATACTCCTGACAAATGAAGGTAAGCACTCCTTAGTAGTATTACTATACAAATAATTAATAATGATACTATTGGGAGGATGAATGGGGCAGAGGTGCTAAGAAAACTCCCTTATTTTTGAAATACAGCATTGGCAATGCTGGGAGGAGAAATGTCTTTTAGTCTGGCACTGCCACCTTGTGGGGAAAACATGCTAACAGCAGAAAGGTATATGCCAAAGTAGAAGTCTTTGGCCTAAGTCTACATTACACTCCCTTATGCAACTATGCAACTTTCTAACCTATGCAACTTCAGCTACACAAACAGCATCGCAGAAGTTGTGTCTTCCAAACAAGAAAATCAGCTACTCTCCTCATCCTGGTGGGCTGGTTTTGTTCAACATCGTTATTAATGACTTGGATGAGGGGATAGATTGCACCCTCAGCAAGTCAGCAGCTGACACTAAGCTAGGGGGAGATACAGATATGTTGCAGGATAGGTACAGAGTGACCTATACAAATGGAGGACTGGGCCAAAAGAAATCTGATGAGGTTCAACAAGGACAAGTGCAGAGTCTTGCACTTGGGATGGAAGGCTCCCAAGCATTGTTATAGGCTGAGGACAAACTGGCTAAGCAGCAGTTCAGTCAAAAAAGACCTGGGGATTACAATGGATGAGAAGCTGGATATGCGTCAGCAATATGCCCTTGTAGCCAAGAAGGTTAATGGCATATTATGGTGCATCAGTAGGAACATTGCCAGCAGGTCTAGAGAAGGGATTATTCTTCTTTATTAGGCACTGGTGAGGCCACATCTGGAGTATTGTGTCCAATTCTGGCCTCCCCCATTTCAGAAAGGATGTGGGTGCATAGCAGAAAGTCCAGTGGAGGGCAACCAAAATGATTAGGGGACTGGCGCATATGACTTACAAAGAAAGGCTGAGGGATTTGGGCTTATTAAGTCGACAGAAGAGAAGAGTGAGAGGGGATTTGACAGCATCCTTCAACTATCTGAAGAGGGTTTCCAAAGTAGATGGAGAGACAGATGGCAGAATGAGGAGCAATGGTCTCAAGTTGCAGTGAAGGAAGTCTAGGTTGGATATTAGGAAAAACTATTTCCCTGGGGCAGGTGGTGAAGCACTGGAATGGGTTACCTAGGGAGGTGGTGGAATTTCCATCCCTAAAAGTTTTTAAGTCCCAGCTTGATAAAGCCCTGGCTGGGATGATTTATTTGGTATTGGTCCTGCTTTGGGCAGAGGGTTGGACTCAATGATCTCCCAAAGTCTCTTCCAACCCTGTGATTTTATGATTCTATGAATACCAAAGTCAATGGGAGAGCATTCAGAGGTTGATTTATCATGTCTAAGCAGACACGATAAATCAACCGCTGGTGGATCAACAGTTGCAGCAGTCTGATTTTCAAAAGTGCTGCGTATCCAACAGCTCCTACTAAAGACAATAGGCTCTAAGGCTACACAGCATTTTGAATTTAGGAGCCTAATGGGGCAGAGTTAATAGCTAGATGCCTACAGTGTACAAATCTTGCTCATAATTCCAATTCAATGTCAAGCACAAATTGTGAACCAGCCTAACATTTAAAAAAAAGAGGAGTCCTGAGGCACCTTAAAAACTTGTATTTGAGAATAAGTTTTAGTGGGCTGGAACTCACTTTGTCAGATGCATGAAGAGGAAAACTTCAGTTTCCGTTGTTTTTGCAGAAACAGACTAACACAGCTAGCCTCTGAAACCTAACATTGAAGACATCCTTGTTGAGCATCTGGAAAGCCATCAGAGGCTTAAGTGATCCATAGGCCTCACACTGGCCCTCTGAAGGGGATGAATTTCTGTTCTATGGGGGTGAAATCATGGCTCCACTGATGTCCTGGAAAAGCTCCCATTGGCTTAAATGAGGCCAGACTAGCACCACGTGGCCTTGTCTGCACTAAGGCCGTGTCCAGACTCAGGGGTTTTTTCGGGAAAAGTAGCCTTTTCCCGAAAAAACTTCCCCTGCGTCCAGACTCAAGCCGCGTTCTTTCGAAATTATTTCAAAAGAACGCGGCTTTTCTTTCGATGGCGGTAAACCTCAATTTACAAGGAAGAACGCCTTCTTTCGAAAGTTCCTCTTTCGAAAGAAGGCGTTCTTCAATGTAAAGAGGCTGTCTTCGAAAGAGAGCATCCAGACTCGCTGGGTGCTCTCTTTCGAAAAAGCGGATTTCTCTTTCGAAAGATCCGCCTGCAGTCTAGACGCGATCTTTCGAAAGAGGCTCTTTCGAAAGAAGCCTGCAGTCTAGACATAGCCCAAGAAAAGAGTGTGGTTTTACCCTACCTGAAGTGTGGCAGTTCTCAACAGGAGGTTCACAAACCCTGTCTGGGGATTGAGAGGCCCCGCAGTTAAAACCCAGAGTCTGAGCCCAGCCCCTCCTGCAGCACTGAAGCCAGGGGCAGCAGTTGAAGCCCCAATTCCCAACATTCCCCCCCTCCCACAGGGTTAAAGCAAAGGTGCAGGGGGGTGCTGCAGTGGTACTCCACTGCCACCCTGTCCTCTGCCAGCCCGCCCAGGTCCCCATCTGCCTCCCTCCTCCGTCAGGGTCCTGGCTGCCACACTGTGCTCCACTGCTCCTGGCCCCACGTTTGGGGGCAGCCAGGAGTAAAGGGGCTGAATTTCTGCTCCCCCACTATCTTAAGCCCCACTCTCCGGCGCCCCCTGCGGGGCTGAAGCCCAGAGCTGCAGGGCTGAATTCCGGCGCTCCGGTGCTCCCCATGGGGCAGAAGTGCTGAGCCCATGGGCAGAGGTGGGAGGACACAGCGGTGTTGCTCCCCTCCAAAACTACAGCGCAAAAGCAGGGCAGCCCCGAGGCAACACCACACACACACCCCCACCCACACTTCCTTCTCCCCTGCCCCAGCCAGGTCAGAGGCTGGAAGCCAGAGCTGCTGGTGCCATAGAGCTGGGCCATGCAGGACGGCTGGTGCTCTGGCTGGTGCCATAGAGCCAGCGGCTACAGCATCCCC